GTCAGGAGTTCCCAGAGGATGCAAATGGTTAAGCACTCAGCTGCTAACTAAAAGGTTGGTGGTTCAAATCCATCCAGAGTCACCTCGGAAGAAAAGTGGTTTACTTCTAAAAACAAAACAGTCATTGAAAACACTGTGGTGCACAGTTCTACTGTGACACGTATGGATTTCCATGAATCACACTGGTTCTAAGTTTTTGTATGAATCAAGTAAATGCCACAGATATTATCTCTGATGCTCAACATTCTGCAGTAGATAGTATCCTTATTTTCATGTGATGAAATTAAGGTTCAAAGAAATCAAGTACTGTATCCAAGATCACAACTCAAGGAGGATCCAGGATCCAAATGCATGTTTGTCTCCATGTTCTTTCCATATAGCCTACTCTGAACCAAAAAATAAAAAATAAAAAATAATAATAATAATGCAATTGACCCCTCAAAATAAAATTATTAACTTGAAAATAGCCTTAAAGGAAAGGAGTAACATTAAGGCTACCTGGACGCTGATGAAGAATCCAACTAGAAAACTGAGCATATATTAAAATAAAATAAGCAAGTTTGATTGGCAGAAAGATGCAAATTAGCAAACTACCCCTACTCCCCCCAAAATTATCTATTATGAAATTTTAGCAGAAATTTGCTCAGATTTGTCCTTCCAAAGTTATCAAGTAAATACATGCTTCAGATAACGATGTAGGGTGACATTCGCTCTGGGAAATGGATCAGAGTAGCGGAAGGTTTAACAGGAGAATAGCAGGACCCAAGATGAGACCAAGGGGGTGGAGCTAGGTTGAAGGAGCCATTCAATATCGATGAATTTCTGTGCACTGTTCAAATTAATAGCAAAATTTCATCCTACGCCCTTTCTTTCCAAATCTCATCACTGTGAACCTTCATAGGGCTGCTGCTGCTGCTGCAAATGTTTCTCTTAGGTTCTCATGCATCTTCACTGGGATCTAAGCTCTTTCTCTGGCATATACAGAAGGTATATGAAGGAGCCAGTTTGGCCTGGGATATCGGTGGCCCTCTCAATCTTCCCCCAAGTTTAACATCAACCACCATGTCTTTAGATATGTTGTTGCTGCTGCTGCTGTTGTTGTTGCTAAGTGCCATCGAGTCAGTTTCAACTCATAAAGACCCTCTATAGGATTTCTGAGGAGCGGCTGGTGGGTTCGAACGTCTGATATTGTGTTCAACAGTCTAGTATTTATCTTATCACGCCACATCAGGATTCCCTACCAAGGCTCAGGGTTCATTATTCAATTCCATTTCTCTAAGCATGAGGAAACCATCACAGGAATAAAAATTAAGAATTAAACTAGACGATGGCACAAAATAGACATAACTGATAGTTTCAAGGAGTGTTTGGCACAGCTCAATTATTTCAGTATATTCCTTTCGTCAGACTCAATGAATGGCACTAGCAACCAATGTCAGGGTCATCTGTAGAATGTCTTCACACATTTATTGACCTGACCTGTCTGCTCTGTGAGCAGGACCCTCCTCTCAGACTCATAGCTGAAGATGATCTTAGAAATAGGGACCACCAACTGCTATGTCTTAGGATGGTGGGTAGCTGGTGCCTTTCTAAGTTACATCTCTAGAGACCCCAAAACTATGTAAATGAACAGTAAACTACTATTTGAGGGCATACTGTGTGTTGTTCTAAGCTCCTTTAAACACATTCATCCTTGCAGCTTTATAGATGCTTTCACCCCATTTTAAAGAGAAAGCAGAATCTAAGAGAGTTTAAGTCACTTGCTCCAGGGCAAACAGCTAGTCAGTTGTAAAGCTGGACTTCGGGTTCTGAGTCTGACTCTAAAATACATGTCATTCCCATTAATAATATCTTGCTTTTCTGAGTAGAACTGACTTTGACTTTAATGGTAGGAATTTCAGTTAATATGATAAACTGAAGGAAGAATTTTTGAACAAAGAACCTTACCAGCTTCTCCTGTAGGTGAGCTGCCAGCAGCATTTGTGTGCAAGTTCCCCTTGTGGCAGTGCTGGTGGAGAGAAGAGAAGGACGTTGGTAAACACAAAGTCCCTGGGTGGTGCAAATGGTTAGAATATTAATTTGCTGACTGAAAGGTTGGAGGTTCAAATCCACCCACGGAAGTAAAAGCTGGCAATTTACTTCCAATAATTCAGCCATTGAAAACTCTGCTGAGCACAAATCTCCTGGGGTTTCCATTAGTTGGAATTGGTTGTTACCCATCCCGCCCACTTTGATAAACTCAGAAGCCCAAGTGTTATGGCCTGCACTACCCACCAGGGGTCAGACTGGCTCTAGCCAGAGCAAAACAGGGAGGGGGCTCAGGTTAGAGCAGGATTTCTCAACCTTGACAAAATTGACATGTTGGGTTGGATAATTATTTGTTGTGGGGTACTGCCCTGTGCATGGCAGTTTTTAGCAGCATCCCTGACCTCTACCCTTTAGAAGATGGTAGTGCTTGTCTCTGCCCAAGTTGTGACAACCAAAAACAAGCTAGTGCCAAATATCCTCTAAGGGGAAACCACCCCTGGTTGAGAACCACTAATTTAGAGGAGAGGTAAGGGGGTATTAGAATATAGGACTCCTCCAAAAGGGCAACCATTGTTCCTGGGGATCCAGAAATTATTCTTCTATTAAAGACAAAACAAGAGGACTATGTAGGCAAAGGTAGATGCTTAGATGACATGTAATGAAGACCTTCTTGTCAATGAAAGCAATTAGGCAACACAATTAGGTGTTTCTGGAAAACTGTGAAGTCACTTGAAACTTTGCAGACCAGGAGAAACTTCCAAGGAGACCTGGTGGCACTGTGGCATAAGCATTGGACCGCTAACTGAAAGGTCAGCAGTTCAAACCCACCAACCGATCCAAGGGAGAAAGCTGAGGCTGCCTCGCCCATACAGATGGACAGGGTCACTTTGAGTCAGAATCAACTCGATGGCAGTGGGTTTGTTTTGGGGGGTTTAGGAGGAAACCTGTATTCATGTAAACTAAATATGAAGAGAATATAATGACCTCTCAGAGTGCCTTGAGTTTCCACCCTGGTTTTAACCACTGACACTTTTCTCTTCGTAGGAACGAACACCAACAGTCTTTCCAGTTCAGACTTAGGCCGTCTTAAACAGCTGCCCTTTTCTTTTCTCCCACAGGAACAGCCCAGGGCGTTGTGATTGCTACCGGAGACCTCACAATGATGGGTCGGATAGCAACACTGACATCAGGCCTGGCAGCTGGCAAGACCCCTATTGCTACTGAGATAGAGCACTTCATCCAACTGATCACCATAGTGGCTGTCTTGCTAGGGATCTCTTTCTTTGCACTTTCACTTATCTTGGGCTATGGCTGGCTGCAAGCTGTCATTTTTCTTATCGGCATCATTGTGGCCAATGTGCCTGAGGGACTGCTGGCCACCGTCACTGTGAGTAGACAGGGTGAAGGGTGGCCTCGGAGCAGACAAACCACCCCAGAAAAATGAAACCCATAGTATCTCTTTTGTGGTTGAAGTTCTCAAGTACAGAGCACTCCTGACATTTGTATAGTTATCAGAAAAAATTTAGCTCCCATAATTACTTCGACTCCCACCACCCATAGTTTCTCGTGCCTTTGTCTTTCTCCTCAGTGAGAGAGGAAGTCAGTAGTGATGAAGAAAACATTGGATTATAAACCACAAGTAGTGAATTCTAGTCCTGGGTATACTAGCTGGTAAACTTAGCCAAATCATTTCATATCTCCAGTGTATTTGCAGGTTTGTAGAGTGTATTCATCATTTGGAATTATAGAATCTTATTATTTGACAGAACTTCAAAGGCAATAGAAATTCAACCTTCCAGCCAATGTTAAATTTCTTTTGGTCTCAATTTACTCCACTGGTGGACTATTGCTTTAGTTAAATTTCATTATATCAAGCAATATGATTTCCTGGTTCTACTGAGACCAGGTGGCACAAGTGGTTTGTGATCTGTTGCAAACCCAAAGGTTGGCAGTTCAAGCCCACCTCATGACTCCCTGGAAAATCACTGCTATAAAGATTACAACCAAGAAACCCCTATGGAAGAATTCTACTCTACACACATACAGTAACCAAGAGTCAGGGGTCCACTCAGTGGCAACTAACAACAGCATTTTGTCCTAGTTTTCCCACCTGAAGAAATAAAAAAATAAGTCATTTCCCTTGCTACTACTTCCTACTGAAGGTAGCCTTTATGTCCCCTCAAACTCTCCAGGTGGGACATGAAATAATCTCTCTTCCATAGCCATTCTTCATAAGACCCCTTGTCTTGCTGGTAACCCAGTTAGAAATAACGCAGTTTATCAATATTTGCCTTCATATAGAAATGGGCAGATATTCCAGGTTTGGTTTGACTGGTATAAAAGCATTGGGACTTATTATAGAAATAAATTATAATCCATAAATAGAATTCTGTACTTAAATGGCCATAGCCTAAGAATCTATTAAGGTTGCTGTGTGTTGCAAACAGTTTGCACTCAAACTAACCTAACGGTTGGCAGTTTGAAACCACCCAGAAGAGCATGGGAAGTGGAGCCTGTTTATCTGCTTCAGGGGTGGGGAACCTTTTTTCTGCTAAGGGTTATTTGAATATTTATAGCATCATTCATTCACAAGCCATACAAAATTATCAACTTAAAAATTAGCCTGCTATATTTTGTCAAACATTCAATTAATTCATCCCTAATGTGATACCAGCACTACCAGCTGCTCCGTGGGAGAAAGATGAGGCGATCTGTTCCCGTAAAGATTTACAGCCTCGGAAACCCTGTTCAGGGTCGCTATGGGTCGAAACTGACTCGACAGCACTTAACAACAACAACAATGTGATAGCTGGAACTGAGGTTGCCTTGGCAGGGCCAGAGTAAACAATTTCAAGAGAATGTCTGTTCCCCATCCTTACACTACTGTCAAGAAAACCCTATGGAATATGTTCTACTCTGTAACACACCGAGTTGCCTTGAGCCAGAATCAACAGCAATGGGTTTGAGTTTGTTTGTCTGTTTGTTTGTGGGTGTTGGGCTTTTGTTTTGTTATTTTTTGCTGTTTTAGTTTCTAAAACAGTTTTGTCACACACCTGACTTCACTGAATTTATGACGGACAAAAATATTCTCATTTAAGTTGATGCTCAAGTTCCTTCCAGTGTTGTATATTCCTTCTCAGTCGGATAGTCCCCAATCTTTTTTTAAAACATACTTAGTGTCTCATACCACAAGAAAAGATGGGGGTCCCTGAAAGGCTGGACTTAAGACAGAGGTGTAGCCTGGCCTTTAATGGAAAGCAGACTTCTGAATAGAAAAGAAGTAAGGCTCATGGAGAAGAGTGAAATGGGAGAATCACTCTCTGTGATACTTTGGTCAAGGAATACCTTCCTTTTCAAAATTAGAATTTTTACTTTGTTGGTATAACAATAGCCAATGAATACCTTCTTTTTTTAAAACTCTGCCAGAAAGCATGACTCAAAATGTCTTTCCTAATATCCTTTTCCACAGCTCAGATGGAATTTCCAAAAACTAAATGGAAACAAAAGGGAAATAAGTGCAACACATTATCATACTTAGAAAATAACAAAGGGATGTGAGTAGTCAGCGTCTTCTCTTCATTTACCCTCTTCCCCTTTCACGGTCTTAGGTGTGTCTGACCCTGACAGCCAAGCGCATGGCGTGGAAGAACTGCCTGGTGAAGAACCTCGAGGCGGTGGAGACGCTGGGCTCCACCTCCACCATCTGCTCCGACAAGACAGGCACTCTCACCCAGAACCGCATGACCGTCGCCCACTTATGGTTTGATAGGACCATATATGAGGCTGACACCGCAGAAGGACAGACTGGTGACTAGTGGTATTGGTGGTCCAACAGTGGCAGGATTAGGGGGTGGTGATGAAGGAGCTGAGAGGGAATGGTGAGTGCAGATAAGACGCTATCTGGAAAATGGAATAGAGAGAGGTGGGGTATGAAGGAAAAGAAATGCTGTCTCTGTGAAGTATTGGGGTGATAAACAGGATGTGAATAACTCCCCACTTCAGGCTCTCCTACCCCCAACACACAATTTTCCTGGTCTTTCTGTCCACAGAAAAGACATTTGCCAAGGACTCTCCTACTTGGTTCACCCTAGCCCGAATCGCTGGCCTCTGCAACCGGGCTGACTTTAAGGCGAATCAGGAGACACTTCCCATAGTTAAGGTATCAGGCCTAAGGGAGAAGGCACCTCAATGTCCAGGGTATAACCTGCCCTATTTAAATGTATATCTGTTTCCTGGTGCACAGTGATTTTCCCAGTACCTCCTTTCCAGTTTGTCCCTCTCTTGTCTCCCTGGGTAAGCCAGATGCCTAGGGACAGGCTCTACGGCTTACACAAACCCCCTCCTCGCAGCGCGAAACAACAGGTGATGCCTCTGAGTCAGCCCTGCTCAAGTTCATCGAGCAGTCTTACAGCTCCGTGAAGGATATGAGAAAAAAGAACCCCAAGGTGGCAGAGATTCCCTTTAATTCCACCAATAAGTACCAGGTACAGGACCACCAAAGGTAGAAGAATGGTGAGGGGGATGGCTCATCATCTGGGGACATGTGAGCTTTGCCTGGGCCTGCAACATCACTGCTGAGTGGTAGAACGTTGCTGTTCTTAAGAGCCATCCAGTTGGTGCCACTCATAGTGACCTGTCTAAGTTTCCAAAAAGCAGCTGGTGGGTTTGAACTGCTGACCTTGAGGTTCAAACTGACCTTGTGGTCCAGTGCATTATCCTGCACCACCGCACAACCAGCATCTGAATCTAGAGTAGGTAATAAAGGAAACCCTATACAGGGTCGCTATGGATTGGAACCGACTCGATGGCACTTAACAACAACAATAAAGGAAGTAGAGTCCTGGTGTGGCGCTATGGATTAATGTGCCAGACTGCAAAGCCATTTGAACTGCAAGGTCGGCAGTTCAAGCTCACCGGTCACTCATTGGAAACCCTATATAGGGTCGCTATGGGTCAGAACCTATTCGACGGCACTTAACAACAACAACAACAATAAAGGAAGTGGCATTGAATTCTAAGGTTTCTAGGTGACACAATCGATTTGTATTCTACCATTAGCCTAGTGGAGTCCTGATGTGGCACTTTAGGATAAACACTAGACTGCTAACCACAAGGTTGGCAGTTCAAACCCACCATCTGCTCCTTGAAAACCCTCTACCAGGTCGCTATGAGTCGAAACCAACTCAATAACACTTGACAACAACATTAAGCTAAAGGTTATTGGTTCAAAGCTACTCCTTGTAGCTGTGGTAGGAAGACGTGTTAATCTGCTTCTGTAAGGATTACAGCCAGCAAGCCCTACAGAGCAGTTCTGTTCTGCAACATGATTCGGAATTGACTCAACAGCAACCGGTACTGAGTCCTAACCAGAGCTCTGGGTCTGCCTCCCTCTGTGTGGACAAAACGATAGCAGGGAGCCAAAGTTGATTGGTTAAAGAGCCACGTGCACCACATGCTTTTCTGTTCTGAAAAACACATAAGAAATCACAAAATCTATATGTTGTTGTTAAGTGCTATCAAGCCAGTTGTGACTCACAGAGACCCTATAAAGGGTTTCCAAGGAGTGCCTGGTGGGTTTGAGTCCTGTGCTTATCCTACAGCACTACACCTATACTGTCATAGAAAGAGCATTGGTGGCACAACTGTGAAGTGCTCAGCTGCTAACTTGAAAGTTGATAGTTCAGACCCACTCAGCAGCTCTGAGGAAACGATCCCTGACAATCTGCTTCCATAAAGATTATTGTTGTGTGTCCTCAAGTCAGTTCCAACTCAGAGTGAGCCTATATGACAGAGTACAAATGCCCCATAGAGCTTCCTAATATTTATAGGAGTAGCTTGCCAGGGCTTTGTTCCCAAGGAGCCATCGGTGGGTTTGAACCACTGACTTTTCCTCCATCTGCCTAGTGTGGAACCATTGAGCCATCAAGGCTCCTTCTGTAAAGATTACAGCCAAGAAAAGCCTATGGGACATGGGGTTGCTATGAGTTGGCGTCAACTTGAGGGCACCCAACAAGCTCAACATACTTTCCATATTGAAAACCTCAAGTAAGAGTTAAATAGATCCATAGTTTTCTTTCTCTGAAATAAAAACAACAACCTGACTTTATGTCAGTGTAACAAAAGAGGCTTCCTAGGTCCAAATTGCAAACCTGTTATCATTTTCTTTCTGTTGTTCAGTCAGTGGTGATCATCACTAAGGTTGTTGTCACCCACGATAGGAACTCATGATGTCATCCCATCATGGAGCTCCTCCCATACCAGACCATACAGAAATCTTAGTAATGTTTATGGTCTATTTAAATCATAGACTAATATGTGATAAAAAAAAACATAGATATAAATTTCTTAAATGTATTATGTCTTAGATGATATGAATACTAACAACAAAATTATTCTGTAAAATATCTATTATGTGGAGCAAAGTTCAAAATCATAAAAAGACCAGTCTTCTTGGTTGACTAGAAACTGGTAGAGCCTCCAAGACTGTGGCCCTAAGTCACCCTTCAGGTTTGGCTCAATTTTCAGCCAAACAATAGACAGTTCTATAAGAAGAACAATAACATTAGGGAGGTACTCACGTCTTAGAATAATCAACCATGTGAGATCACAAGGACAACATTTACCCAAGGACAGAACTCAGAGGGTTAGGAAGGAAGGAGTGGAAACAGGAAACACAAGAAGAAAGTGGGATGAGAGCTGTTACATTGTGCAGATTGCAATCAGTGACTCCGGTCCTACTCATTAAAGTAGGGCGCAGCGCAAGGCCTTTGTGAACGACGTTATGCCAGGCTTTTCTTTAGAGGTGGCTCAGAGTGGATTTTAAACCACCTTTAGATTACTGGTTAGTGCTGCTGTCAAGTCCCACCAAGTCGGTCCCCATTCACAGCGACCCTGCATAGGGTTCCTGAGGAAAATCTGGTTAGTAGTCGTCGAGTACTTACCTGTTTGTGCCACCAAGGAACTCATAGATCACAGATTGAGAGAATAGGCAAAACCTAAACTAATCTTTCTTGTCAGGTTCACCTCAAAATATGGCCACACACACACACTGATTCTGACACCCAACCTAGACTACTACTACCTGCCCCTCTCAGGAGACTTCTTGGCCTTTTAGGAGAGAGCAATAAGAGGACTAGAAAGACTAACCTATTTTAGAAGTGTGCTGCACAATGTTCAAAGTGTTCTAACACATATTTTGTCATATAAACCCCACTAAAATAAAAATCTTTTACTTTTGGTGAAGGACCTAAGGTTTTGGAAGAATAAATGGATAGACCCATAGGTCATAAAGCTAGTAATGTATCCATGTGGCCCAAAGCACAGGCTCTTGGATTCGAGTACATTTTCTTTCCTCTATACTCTATTGTCTGCCTTTTCTAGCCCCACACTTTTTGCTTCCTAGAAATCTAGTCATGAAGGAAGCAGGGGGAAGGTGAGATGCCTAACCTCAGAGGGCTTCCAGTCTGGCTAAGAAGAAAATAGAAACTCATGTAAAAATAATACCAGGCTGAGGGCTTGAAACTTGGGACAGACTTTAAAAAAAAATTTTTTTTAATAGTAAATCTATGCCCTGGTGGCACAAATGGTTAAGTACTCAGCTGCTCACTGAAAGGCTGGCCGTTTGAACGTACTCAGGGACTCCACAAAAGACTTAGCAATCTGCTCTTTCAAAGACCACAACCTAGAAAACTTTATGGAGCAGATCTACTCTGGCCCTGGGGTTGCTATGAGTCAAAATTGACTTGACGGCACCTAACAACAGCAACAACGAATATATAGGTAGCAAAACATTTGATATTTCAGCAATTTCCACATGTATAGTTCAGTAACATTATGTACATCGTGTTGTTCAACCATCACCCTTACCTGGTCAGAGCTGACTGGGGTTGGATACCTGGGCTGGGGGTGAGGAATGGAGGTAATAGGAGCATGGAAGCATTTCCCGCAACACTTTTCTCTTGTTTGCCTTTGTCTTTTTTACCCTCAAAGTCTCTCTCTCGCTTTTTGCTTAACCCCCTTACTCTCTCCTCCTGGTTCACCGATGCTTCCTCTGCTCTCTTTAGATGTCCATCCACATTCCGGAGGACGGCTCTCATACTCACATGCTGCTGATGAAGGGGGCTCCTGAGAGGATCTTAGACTTATGTTCTTCATTCCTGCTGAATGGACAGGAATATCCAATGAACAGTGACATGAGGAATGCCTTCCAGAATGCCTACTTGGATCTGGGAGGTCTGGGAGAACGCGTGCTAGGTGAGGGGGCCATGGAAGAAACCTTTTAAAACATGGCACAACGTAGTATTATTTGTGGGGTGGACAATCTGGGAAGCTGGGATAAAAGGGGTAGGGATATTGGTGGCGAAATGACTGCTGGTCCCTTCTCTCCACAGGATTCTGTTTCTTGAATCTGCCTAATAGTTACTCCAAAGGATTCCCATTTGATACAGACAAAATTAATTTTCCCATGGAGAACCTTTGTTTTGTGGGGCTCATATCAATGATTGATCCTCCACGAGCCGCTGTGCCTGATGCGGTAAACAAGTGTCGTAGCGCAGGGATAAAGGTAAATTCCCTAGCACCCCAGAAACTACGTCCTGTCACAAGTTGGAACAGTTAGTAGAAAACCTTGCACAGAGTGAGTGCTTCATAATGTTGGTTACATTGATTTGATTTCTATTTCCTTGACTTTATTCTTAAGAAGTTCTGTTGTCGTCTCCTCTGCATTGCATATCAGAATCACCGAGAGAGCTTTAAGACTGTGATTCCCAGGCACACTCCACAGCAATTCAATGAGAAACTCTTAGAGTTGGACCTAAAGAGCTCTGGTAGTGACATGGTTAATCACTCAACTGTTAACCAAAAGGTGGGCGATTCAAACCTACCTAGTGGCCGCACAAAAGAAAGGCCTACTAATTCCTAAAGGTTCCAAACCTAAACCAAACCTATCGCCACTGCGTCAAGTCCAAGTCCACGTGGTTCTGTGTAGAGTTTCCAAGACTGCCACTCTTTATGGCAGCAGATAGCCTCATTGTTTTCCCTAGGAGTGGCTGCTGGCCTTGTGGTCAGCAGCTCAGCACCCAACCCACAGTGCTCCCAAGACTCCTTCTCTAAAGATTGTTGTTGGTGTTAAGTGCCAGCAAGTCAGTTCTGACTCATAGCAACCCTGTATAGGGTTTCTGAGGAGTGGCTGGTGAGTTTCAACTGCTGATTTTGCAGTTCAAACTGACCTTGTGATCCAGTGCACCCTACAGCAAACACACCAGTACTCTAAAGATTGTTGTTGTTGTTAGGTGGCATCAAGTCAGTACCGACTCATAGCAACCTTAAGCACAGCAGAACGAAACATTGCCCGATCCTGGGCCAATCTCACTACTGTTGCCACACTTTAGTCTGTCGATGCTGCCACTTGGCCAATGCATCTCATTGGGGGTCTTCCTCTTTTCTCTGACCCTCCACTTACCAAACATGATATTCTTCTCCAGCGACTGGTCCCTCTTGACAATATGTCTGAAGTATGAGAGACGAAGTTTGGCCACAGCCTAGGAAACCCAAGGGGGCAGGTCTACTCTGTCACACGGGGTGGTTGTGAGTCGAACATCAACTCAATGATACCCAGCAACAGGGTGGGACCCCAGCACCTCATTTTATTTTTTACTTTTTTTTCCCTAGTTTCCAGTGTACTACTAATTTTTTTTTTTCTGTTTTCCTTGCTCTACCAAGTTTGAGAATCAGTATACTAGACCAGTGCTTTCCAAACTTTAATATGCATGTGAACCAGTTGGGGATTTGGGTAAAATACAGGTCCTGATTCGGTGGGTCTAGAGCACCCCAAGAGTCTACATTTCTAATGAGATCCCCAGTGATGCCATAGCCGCTGGTCTGCAGACCACATGCGCAGTAGGAAGGATGTCATGGAAATGAGCTGCTGGGTAGCAGGTAATGTTCAGAATGACGTGTGGAGTGTTGGGGACATACAATAAGTAGGTCAGACTTAGAGTTAACAGCTGCCCTCACTGGTATAGGGACCAAAGCCAAAATGCAGCTGCAGAACAAACCCAGAGATGGGACTTCCTCTTCTGTCAGGGTGGACCTGGGACTTCCTGGGATAGCAGCAGTAGTATTCTAATTCTGAGATGTTGTGTGTCCCATGTTTCCCAAGTCAAATTCTAAGTCTCATATACATCTTTAGAGATCAGATATAGAATCCTTCCCTGGTCACACCTGATATTCTAGATCACCTGTAACTAACATAGATCTTAGCTTCTGGGGGTTTGGAAAAGGGTAACAGGTTAGGGTAGAGAAGTTTAGATAGCATCCAAACTCCTGGTGTGGCACTGTAGAATAAGCACTGGACTGCTAACCACAGGTCAGTGGTTCAAATTCAACAACCACTCCTTGGAAATGCTATACAAGGTCGCTATGAGTCAGAAATGATTAAACGGCAGTTAACAGCAGCAGATAACATCTAGCAAAATAGTGAAATGACACAGGAAGCATCAAAAGAAGATTGAAGGAATACACAGTCTCTATATACAAAGAGTGGTTCGATGCTCAGACATCCCAAAAGGTAGCATATGACCAAGAACCGATAATACTGAAGATGTCCAAGCCGCTCTGAAGGCAGTGAAAAACAAGACTCCAGGAATTGAAGGAAAAGCAATTGTAATATTTCAACAAAGACACAAACAGCACTGGAGGTGTTCACTGGGCTATGCCAAGAAATTTGGGAGACAGCTACATGCCAAGCTGATTGGAAAAGATCCTTATTTGTGCCCAGGCCAAAGAAAGGTGACCCAATAGAATGTGGAAATCATTGACTAATAATAAAATCACATGCAAGTAAGTTTTTACTGAAGATAATTCAAAAGCAATTGCAGCAGTACATCAACAGGGAGCTGCCACAAATTCAAGCTGGATTCAGAAGATGAGGAATGAGGGATAATCATTGCTGAGGTTGGATGGATCTTGACTGAAATCATAGAACACTAGAAAGATGTTTACTTGTGCTTTATGGACTATGCAAAGTAATTTGACTATGTGGATCATAGCAAACTCTAGATAACATTGGGAAGAAGGGAAATTCCAGACTACTTGATTGTGCTCATGAGGAACCTGTGCATACAGCAAGAGGCAGTCATTTGAACAGAAAAACAGGGTTTAAATGGTTTAAAAGAAATAGTTTTAAATCAGAGTGGTTTCCTTTCACCATACTTATCCAATCTGTATGCTAAACAAATAATCTGAGAAATTGGATTATATGAAGAATACGGCATCAGGATTGAAGGCAGGCATTAACAATCTGCGATATAGAAGCTAAAAGGACTTGAAAGTACATACTGATGAAGATCAAAGATTTCTATATGGATTGCACCTCAATGTAAAGAAAATGAAGATTCTCACAACTGAATCAATAATTGACACCATTATAAATGGAGAAAAGATTGAAGTTGTCAAAGATTTCATTTCACTTATATCCACAATCAATGCTCATGGAAGCAGCAGTCAAGAAATCAAATGATGTATTGCTCTGGGCTAATTTGTTGCAAAAAGAAAGAAAGAAAGAAAGAAAAAACCTTTTTAAAGTGCCTTAAAGAGCAAAGATGTCACTTTGAGGACTAAGGTGCCCCTCACCTAAGCCATGGTATCCTGGATCACCTCATATGCATGTGAAAGCTGGACAATGAATATGGAACCCGAGAGAAGAATTGGTGCATTAGAATTATGATGTTGGCAGAAGATAATAACTATACCATGAACTGCCAGAACAAACAAATCTGTTTTGGAAGAAGACAGCCAGATTGCCCCTTGGAAGTGAGGATCTCTCGTAATTTGAACATGATGTCAGAGAAGGACATCATACTTAGTAAAGTAGAGGGTCAGTGAAAAAGAGGAAGACCCGCAACCAGATGGAATGACACAATACAGTAACAATGGGCTCAAACATAACAATTATGTGGATGGCACAGGACCAGGCTGTGCTGTGAGTTGGAGCAACAACAGATGCCATCTAAGAGAGTTCCTGGGTAGTCACAATGGTTAAGTGCTCAGCTACTAATCAAAAGGTTGATGGTTTGAGTCCATTCAGAGGTACCTCAGAAGAAAGACCTGGCAATCCCTTTTTGAAAGATTGCAGTCATTGAAAACCCTATGGAGCACAGTTCTACTCTGAATCACATAGAGTTACTGTGAATTGGTAACTCTAAACCAAAACCAAACCAGATACCAGGCTGGGAGAGGCTGAGGAGTCACTGCTCCACAGATAAGGCTTCTTCTTGTTGTTGTGAGATGCTGTCAAGTCAGCTCTGACTCAACGGTAACTGCTTTGGTTTTAGTTTAGATACCATCCTTCAGAGCTGGCTTGTTACTCAACTTTTGCCTGTTAGCTGCTTGACTGTTGTTGTTAAGTGCTATCAAGTCAGCTCTGACTCATAGAGATACTGTATAAGGTTTCTGAGGAATGGCTGGTGAGTTTGAACTGCCGACCTTGCAGTTCAAACCAACCTTGTGGTCTAGTGCCTATCTGATGGCGTCACGCCAGGACTCCAACAGTTTGCTAGAGGTCAATTTACATCAGACTAAGCTCGATAGTATAAGGAGCTCTGGTAGCTTAGTGGTTACGAATAGGGCTGCGAACTGCAAGGTCAGCAGTTCGAAACTACCAGCTGCTCCGTGGGAGAAAGATGAGGATTTCTGCTCCCATAAAGATTTATGGGAAACCCTGTTCAGGGTTGCTATGGGTCGGAACCAACTCGATGGCACTTAACAACAAACAACAAACCCAATAGTATCGTCACTAGTTTAGGGACCAAGGAGCTCTGGTAGCACAGTGGGTTATGAGTTGGACTGCTAACTGCAAGGTCAGCAGTTCATATCTACCAGCTGCTCTATGGGAGAAAGATGAGGCTTTCTGTTCCCATAAACATTTACAGCCTCAGAAACCCTACACAAGGTTGCTATGAGTTGGAATGGACTCTATAGCTCACCACCACCAGGGTGGGGACCTAGGAATGGATGTATATGGGCAGTGATCGTGAGAGAATGTTCCAGTCACTGCATCACAAGCCGTTTGGGGTTTAACAGTTTTCTGTACTGATGGCATTAACCTCATGGTTCTGTTGTACTTAAGTGACGTTGAGTGGCTGGTGGATTTGAACTGCCGACCTTGTGGTTCAAACTGACCTTGTGGTCGAGTACTTATCCTACAGCACCACAGCAAGTTACCATATTGTATGGTGGGAAATGAGTAGAGAAGGGACTCATTTGCATTTTCTGAACTTTGAGGTAAGCTATTAGACTGAGGAATGACATTGTGGATGTAAGTCTCAAATTAATCTCATTTGAGAGTGTTAGAAGAGGAACTCTCCCAGGGGAGGAGAGCACTGCTGTGCCTAAAATACAGAGGCCTGAACAGGAGACAGAGGGGAATTTTAGTCAGGAAGCCTATCAAATTGGGGTATACACACACCTGAGGCAGACAGGGCTGGCCACCAGCTGGCAGCTGAAGTGGGCACCCTCAGTGCTTCCAGGGCCAGTCCTTGATCTGGGCACAGGTTGACAGGTCCC